GTGTGTGTGTGTGTGTGTGTGTGTGTGTGTGTGTGTGTAAACATGAGAAATGTTGGACTTGTGTTGAAGTGTGGGAAATATTAAATCCTACAGTTTACCACGTCTGTAGCTTACTGATGATCTTCTCAAACACTTCATAATATTGGAAACCTTACGTGACTGGTCGAAGATGCACGAATGTCGTTGACCCAGTTACATTAAAACACCCGCCCCCGTTCCGCGTGTCAGCACTACTGTGTGTGAGGCTTAATTGAGAGGATTTTGTATTTGCTGTTTGTTTTTATGTTCTTGTTTGTCCCTGATGCTTTTCCCAGCGAGGAAGTGGTCAGTATTCCTAAATGCAATCTGATTTTTTTCCCCCCATCTCAGTTTTGAATTCCCATCTCACACATATGTGCAATAAATGGGGCCGTATATCCTGTCCCCTCGCTGATAGAGTGCTGAAAGAGCTGTCAAGTATTAACAGCCTGTTTGTGTGCAACTTTATTCAAGTGCAAATGTCAGTTTAAATCCACTGTACACATGCCAAAAAACAAAACAAAAAGAGAGAGAGAGAGCATCACATTTGAATGTAATAACCTCAATATTAACCTGTATGTGTGTTTAATGTGAAGTGAGGAGAGGGGATGCAGAAAGAGCATATCAGGTTGGGTAACTAATGAGTGTGGAGTGAGATGTAAGGTGAAGTTAAGTGAGTGAAAGGGGTTTAGTGCACATAAAAGCTTTTAAACTGTAGGTGGTGTTCAGTTTTGAAGTCAAGAGCTCGCTACGTTACATAATTCAGGAAGATGGATGTTGCTGATTGGTACTGTTCTTTTTCCTCCAGACACTGAAAATAAGTCATGTTTGTACATTGTAAAATGTTAGTATTTGTGATTTTTTTTCTTCTTCTTATGTTTTGTCCTGTTAGACTGAAAAGGCATCACCTTTATAGGGTATAGGGCATAGATGGAGCTTAGAGACCCATGAAGTTAAGCAGTTACTCAGTTATAAAGGCAGTGAAGTCATCTTCTCCTAACAGTTGTGTGGATAAAGTAAATGTAAACATAAATATTAGTGGTTGGGGTGCTGTGCTGCTGCTGACTGCTTTTCACATTATTTCATCTTTGCAGTTATTGCAATTTTTGGGGAAGTTGCTTATAGTTTAATGTCTATATCTGCAGCTACACATCATCTTTTTTCCTCAAATCAGGTAATCTGGTGCTCTGGGGTATTTGGCTGACCTCATCACAGACTCGGTCACTCGTCTCATTTCATCTTATCCCTAACCACGCCTTTGCTGTCTCGGGGTCTTTAAGTTTCCAAACAAATCGACACTAAAAACACGAGCCTGTTCTTCTCTGTTACATTTACGTGTAGTTCTACATATCAATGACGAATTGATGCACATCTTTAACAACTGGACTGTGTGAGCATGCGTATGTGGAGGCTGTACGTGTGAAATCCAAACTGTTTTCCTCCTCAGCCAAAATTGCGTCTGTTGTGCTTTGTTTGGTTTGTTTTGGGTTTTTTTGGGCTTTTTTTGTGGGGGTTGTTTTCTTTTTGTTTGTTTTGTTTTTTTGTAGAGTTCTATCAGATTATATAAGTATGATTGCACTAAAACTGTACATAGCTTCTCGTTTATCCCACCTCTGCTCCGGCTGCTGGTCGGACAGATGTGTTTCTAACGTGGCTTTTTTGAAGAGAGAGGATCCTATGAAGCTTCATGCCGCACGCTGAGGATTCTGCTAAATTGAGTGTTGATGGAGGTGTGATGAGACAGTCTAGCCAGATTAAACGAATGAGATAGTAAATTATTTCTACAGGTAAGGGACCATCTAGATTTTGAGAAAAGAAATTCCTCTTTTTAAAAATTAGGAATAAAGTAGGACTGATTTGTTATAGCTGGTAGTTGTATTGGCTACAAAACACTTGAATAAATTTCCTTTGGGCATTAAAAGTCAAAACATTGGGGAAAACTCCCAACATCAGGGCTGAAATTCAAGTTTCTCTGTCTAGCTTTAAGAGAGATTGCAGACTATATTGATTGAATTGTGAAATTGCATCCCTTTATTATTAATCATTCAAATTACCACAGCTGATTTTTTCCCCCCCTTTCTTTCACTTAGACCAAATTTAGGCAACTTCTGTTTTTTGTGTGTCCTTTTTTACTTTTAATGCGCAAGATAAGGGGTCACTGCAAGGTCATATCCAAAAAATGAATTCATTGAGGCTACTTTTGCAAAAGTTTTTACACATACATGTTTGTCTCTGAATTTTGAGATCTTCTTTCTTGTGCTTTAAAGGGCATGTTCATTAAATTATTAGTCGCGCATTTGATTTATTGGGCAAATTTATTGGGTAGAAAGCAGTTTGGTATTTTAGGTATATTATACAATGTCAGATGGGACTGTGTCGTAGTTGTATGTACTCAGTGTTGGTTTCTTTACAGAGAAAGTAAACAGCACCTTCCCTAAACCTCTGCACTTTGCCATAAAAAGGTGTTTTTGAATAAAATGACTCCCTCATTCTTCCCTGCTTCTTAGCAATCAGTCCTTTTTTTTTTCTTTTCTTTTTTTTTCTTTCTGCTTTTAGCAAAGGGTAAGACCAAGAGATAAATCTACATCAGGTGTTTGGGGACTTTCTGGGGCTTGTAAAATAATAACAGCTGTGTGGATTTCTGAGGTTTTCTAATTCCCTTTCAAATGCGTGATTGAAACATGGCAATGAGGAAGTATTTCTTGTCTCTACTGTTTAAGAGGTGGTGTATATACTGTACCTGTGTAACATATTGTATATTCATTATGCCTGGTGTATGGGGGGGAAGCTGCTCTGCAGTATTTACTGGCAGCTTGTATTGTATGCGTGCTAGTCCAGAGTCGGGGGTTTGGGGGTCACTGACTGGCTGTGATTCAGTACAAAGATTGACAAAGAGAAAATATTTTATTTATTTGAAAAATAAGTTAGCATCTCAACTAATCAGTTTTAATGTAAATTCGAAGTGACCGTAGGATGAAAATGAAGGATCGTTGAGAGAACTGATTTGTATGAGTGCTGCTTCTGACAGAATCCTTCTGATTTTTTTTCCCTTGAGTAATATTTCTCCCCTTCTCCTGAATAAAGCTGATTGAAAAACGTTTTGTCTTGATTTCTTTCTTTTTTTATTATTATTAAAGAAAACTCAACTTACAGAAACTACGACCTGCTGCCATCATAATAGGATAAGTATCATCATCACTAATAACAGCTACTGTTTCTCTGTGCTTTTATGATTCTGTTGAGCCTTCATCCACAATGCCAGGACCCTATCAGTGAAACCGCTAAATTGGCTTCTTATGGAAGTTTGTTTCTGCCACTGGAAAAAATGTCATATTTTGAAATTTCGACAGCATGAAAATCGATGTCAGACAAAGTTAATTGAATGTACTCGAGGCCGACGCGTACATCTAGAAGCATATATGATATCTCTAACCTATAATAAATGCTTTTAGTAATGAAGTAATGATTAATACGTGAATGTCTGCAGCTTGACTCAGTCTTAATGGATGTCTGAGCCTGGCTGGTGGAGGGTTCAGCTTCTATGGAAAGACTGCTGTTTAGATGAACAGAGCTGCAGTAGGGTGGGAACTAAACACATGACTTTACACTTCATAAAAATAATCTCATTTGGATTCTTTCGATCTCTAAAAGGTTAGAAACGAAGAAGGAACTGAACTGTCTCCTTCCTCTGCTTCTTTTACTACAGTAGATGCTTGACTTCTGAGCATTATATTTTATTCCTTCCTAGTTAAATTTACCTTTTTTAATTTTTCATATTTATTTCCTATCTTATTCATAGCCTTTTCCTTTTTGTTTTCTTTAGGTCACGAGCAGTTGTCCAAGCATTTCACTACATATCGTACTGTGTATGACTGTGTACGTGACAAATAAAATTTGAATTTGAATTTGAGTAGATAACCACTTCATTTATGAAATTTTGATCTGGTTTAACCAAAATAATAACAACAAATGCACATCTTACTGGTGTTTTTCAGCTAAAATATCATTTCACATGAAACTCACACTGATGTCATCAAGCTCATCCTGCGCTTTACAAAGAATCTGTCCCTCACTCGCTTTTATCTCCTCTCTTTCCCCTGATCTCCTGATGGGACAACGATCAGAGCAGATGGTTGTCCCTTCCTGCTGGAGGTTTCTTCCTGTCAAAAGGGAGTTCTTTCTTCCCGCTGTTGCCAAGTTCTCACTCATCAGGGATGATCTGATTCTCTCTACTACATAGGGCTATTATATAAAGCATCTTATAAGAACTGTGGCTGTGAACTGACATTATACACATCCATCTGCTGGATCCTATCCTAGTTGATTTTATCGTTTCTTGAAATAAACACATTCTATAAAATAAATAAATAAATGCAAACTGATCAAAAGAATGTGATGATTTCAAACGGGTAAAAAGACCCAAATGCAGACTTCAGAATTGAAAGACATTTTATTAACCAGCCTTACAGTTTTGTACCAATTTAACTGCAAGGCTGGAGGAGTGGGTAGGCAGGTTACAAAGTTAAAAGTCCAAATCCCATTTGGTCCAAAAGAAGGAATTCCAGACAGGTTACAGGCATCAAAATAGCACAACAAGAAATTTTCCTATTCAACTAAATAAACTTCTTAAACCTTAAACAAGGCTGTAAGGAGGCTGAATGGTGGTCTTTTTATTTGCTTCCACGGTTAGTGGTATCCCAGAGCCTCCTTTTCTTTTAGATGAATAAGGAAAATCCTTGAGAGTGAAGATGAGTATGAGAGACACACAAAGAAACTGAACCCTAATTTAAGGAGTAGAATGTCTTTAAGTACTGTGCTAGACGAGAAGGTGAAGACAAGCCCATGCAGCCCATGACCCATGATGGGAGGAACACCAGGCTGCAGACTGATGACAGAAGAGCATGACGGGTCCTTCACACATACCTCTATGTTTCTGTGTCACAGCAGGCTTTGATCAGGCCATTGCCCCTCAGTCTCCAGAGTTTGCGTCCTCCATATGCCTCTGGTTTGACCACATCTTCAGCATCCCTCTGTACGCAACCTTCACGCCCCTTTTAAATGGACTATATTTTATACGGCATCACTTGAAGCAGGAACCTTTCCACTTAACTGCAACCTATTTGTGAAAGCCCATATGTGACGATTGGTTTATGTGTGTGTGTTTTTATTTTATTTACAGTGTGTCTGAAATCTTTGTCATGCTGAAAAATGAAGCCTTTGCTAATCAGATGCTTTTCAGATGGCAATGCATGCTGGAGCAAAATCTGACAACACTTTTCCTTGTTAATTGTATACGTTTAGACTAGATTCACAACGCAGCTGGCTGAAATGCAGCCCCAAATCATGACAGAGCTTCCACCATGTTTTACAGATGACCATAGACACCCACTGTTGTACCCTTTTCCATATGTATTGATGATTTGAACCAAAAACTTCATATTTAGATTCATGACTCCATTATACCTGTTAACCCTGATTTTCAGTCCATTTCTTGTGTAACTTGGAATCCCTCAGCTTTTTCTCCCGGCCTCCATCCTTAAGGATGGCTTCTAGACAGCCACCTTTCCACTGAGACCATTTCTGATGAGGCTTCAGTGAACAGAAATTGGTTTAACTGAAGGGCCATAGGCATCTCTCAGGTCTTTGCTAGATTTGTTTTCTGGTTTCTTAATGACATGAGTTTCAAATACTGTTCATCTTCTGTAGGTAGTTTGTAAACTTGTGACACTTTTTGTTTCATCTGTCCTGTTTCCTCAGATGAAATATGCCAAGTTTACAGCTAACACATGTAAAGATATTATTTTATTGAACTGTTATCATTGGAATTTTTTGTAGATTAACCTAAAGAAATTGAAATGAATTATGTGTTTTTGTGCCAAGTACCAAAAGATAGAAAAGAGGGGAAAATAAGAAATTATGAAAGACCTTTGGAACAGTCTGTAGAAGTGATGTATATGTAAATGATGGGGTTGAGTAAGGGGTTGGAATAATCCAGCCAGGATTTTGAATATGCCTATAAGGATATTTTACTTTGTGTCCACATTCGTCTGGTGGTTTCATTATTAGCTGCTATCGAGTTCCCGTATAGTTGTGTTACCACCAGTATGTACCAGCATTTTAAAAAAAAAGGACACAAAGACATACTTCCCTGATTACACACTGAAGTTTTTAATGTCTTGACAGAGCACAGCAGTCCTGCACATCAGTCTAAACAAGACGCAGGACCTGATCGCTGCAGGACTTTCACACATTCAGCCCGCCCCTCGCTGCTATTCTACACACAGAAGGACAAGAAAAGCAAAAGCCCTCTGCTGCAAGCCAAAGTATTCAACAGCCTGCAGTTGCCCATATACATCATTGTATTATATATTTTTTGTAGTTTTTAAAACATTACTTCCTTATACATATACTCATTTTGTCATAATTTAAATATTCAGCGGTTTCATACACTAAATTCCCTAGATAGTGAAAGTTCAATAAGATGCATCACACATATACAGAATAACACAATAAGATATGTCCATAATAAACTATTTACCATTAAATAAGAAGAAGAATATGCTTAGTTGTGTTTACTTTGCAGTCGTGGAGTACCAGATGCACAAGGGATGAATAGTAGATTTTTGTTTGTGGCTGGTGGGTTGTTTTTTGCTTGGGTTCAAAAATACAATACACCACATCACGCTGACAGTGGAGGTCAGTGGTAGAAAAGGTGGTGGGTTCGCACGGGTCACAGGTTCTCACACGTGTAAAATGACAGGGTGAAAGAGAAGGAGCTTTTTCATTTAATGCCAGTGTTATGCATAGACTGTGGCTGTTTTTGAGTGTTCTCACTCACCCCCGTGACCACTGGAAAAAAGACAAAACCAAACAAAAAAAGGGGGGGAAAAGAGAAGAAATGGCAAATCATCAACTGACTTAAAATTCTGAATGTTTTCACACGGCAAATATTCCTGTTTTCCCCGTCTGAATAAAAAGGATATGTAAAGAGCTATCTAGCTAACAGTCACAGAGCTTCAACCCAGGCCAAAGACTCCCTTCCTCTCAGGCTGGAGTCTCGCGTGTCCTGCAGTTGTCTGAAGCTGCACATTTGCTTAAAGATAATGCAGTAACAACATTTGTGTGAAGCAGAGAGCAAGAAAGACACGGGAGAGGCATCTTTTTTTTTTCCTTTTACGTCAGTTGTTGCATAGGTCGTGTGGAAGCACAGACAACAGCAGTTTTAAATCGCAGGTGGATTTAACAGTGACACTGAGGGCCTTCCTGAGGCTACAACGGGCAGTTCCTCCCGTCCTGCAAGGCTGAAATGAAGAGGAGGAGGAAAAATGGACGAAGAGCAGCAGCGTCTATCTGAGGGTGAAGAATTTGCAGGCGATCCTTTACTTCTGTTATTCATTCAAGCCTTCCTCTCCTCGTGTGAGTGAGTGAGTGATGGGTGGATGGATAAATGCGAGATGAGCGTAAGAAGGAGAAGAGGTAACAGGGAGAATGTTTCCTTCTAAGAGTCGAATGGTGGCAGGGGGCTCTCGGGACGAGAGGGCCCGCCCTTGTTTGACCGGCTGTTTAGGTGATAGGAAAGAAGAGAGAAAATAAAAAGACGATCTTATTTGCCAGGATGAAGAGATTACAACAAGAGAAAGCCTAAAATCGTAATGGTGAGGAGGCACCAGAGAAATGACGATGTTCACCTCCAGGGTGAGGGGGATATTATTGCTTTGCCACCAGTTAGTAATGTGTAGCCACGGGTTATTCCGGCATAGGAATTATGTAATTAAGATGTGGCCATGAGATATCATCTGGTAAGATTACATTTTTGAATGATGAATCGCCTGACAGCCAGATGAATATTAAAAATCATCAAGGAAATAAAATCCAGCTGTTCTTTTAAACTATGCATGATGGTTAACATACAACAGATTACCCACACCGAGGCCAAACATTAACAACTAGTGGCTGTTTAGTTAGCAATAATATTTTACAGCCACGTGAGAAACAGGTCAACTTTTACAACAATGCTAATGGTAATGAAAACCATGATTTGCAGGGTGTGAGGCAGACCTCCTCTTTCACGGTTTGTTCTTTATAGTTTAGCTCACAAGCGGACTTGATTAAAGTCAGTCGCCTTCACACACGAATATGGAAAACTGCCATAACACATTAACTCAAACTCTGAATAGTGCAGTGAGAAGACACCAGAGTTACAAAAAAGTCCAGCTTGCATCACCTCCCTTATGAAATACTTTATCCATCGTCACTTCTGCTGATTGAAACATTTTCTGCCTCTTACTTTAACTCCGAGGCTGAAATGCTGCAGAGGAACTAAAGCATTTACTCTCTGCACAACACCAGTATTTACAGAGTCAAAGTATCCATCAAACTACCATGAAGTATGTTGCAAGTTCTTGGTATTAGTGGATGTTTAAGTGAACTGAAGAATTTGTGCCATTTTATCTGAAACTCTTGTGAAAATCTGCCAGCGAAAAATTCTAAATTTCTGCTTTATCCCTAAAATTTCATCTTTTTTTAAGGGAAGGATTCCTTAAAAAAGGAAGAAAATAAATAAACATGAAATAAAAGAACAATTGATGAATGAGAGAATAATAAGAGAGAATACTTATTAGAAATACTCAGGCATAGCTTCATGCTAAATGTCTACCCTTTTAGTTTAAAAGCAGGAAGAATGTTTCCGTGTTTAAGTGTTTGCACGTGTTTACTAGACTGTATACTGCGTGCGTGCACACGCTAACTGATTTGCTTCATCAGTCTTTACATAGTTTGAGTTCTCAGGGTGCAGCATGTTTGTAAGTCATGCAAGTGTGATTCAAGTATTCTGCGTCACTGTATGAGGGAGAGAGGTGGAGGTGAGGAGGAGGGAAAGAAGAGGAAGCGAGGGAGAAGCAGGAGCTGGGAACCAGCGCAGGTCAGACGAGGCAGAAAACGACAGGAGGGTGGCGCTGTTGTCTGTGGCCTCTCATCCAGGGGAGAATTAAACGGAGGAGGAGGGGAAGGACGGAGGAGCCAGGGAGTCTAGTGGGTTGGAGATGGCGGGGGTCTCCGACTGCCGTGGACACACAAGCACAAAGGAGAGACTGGATTAGTGCCGTTGCTCCCTGTTAACAGGTTTACAGCCCCCATGTGTACATTCATGCACAAACACACAGAAATACTGTATCTTCAAGTAAACATGGAGGCAGTCCAAAAATCCAACCAACGTGACAAAGATTTGAAGCTCAGTTAAGTGAAGGCGGTGTTCCTGCACATCCAGCTGCTGTTTATCTACAGTAACGTGCAGTTTGTTCAGTTGTAGTTCTGCTACAGGAGAGCAAATCCACTGATAGGCATTCAAGTTTTAAGCAGCAGTTGTTGCTGATTGAAGGGAAGATTAAACTGATTGTTAAACACAACAAACAGAAGTTGACTTGTACAAATGCAAAGTGTTTGCTTGAAGGTAAACATGTAAGCAAATATGAATGTGTGACATTTTAGAGATGCAGATACACTCTCTTATTCCTAGTTAGGGCGAACCATCCTTTATTCACTCCATAATTTAGTCTAACATCTTTGCGCTCTGTACCATTGCACATTGGTATTGCCTGTTTGTCGATTCTCTTACATACGATGCTATGCCTGGTCAGTGAGTGTTACCAAAACATTCACAAGGTTTGCAGATTTTGCAAGACAATGGCAGATATGGCTCAAAAGAAATATATGCCCATTTACAGTTACATTCAAACTACAACTCAAAAACTGTTAACAGACAGTACAGCAGCCGAAACAACAGTAACATAATGGAGAATATATATATATTGTACTGTATAGCATCCATCGCCTGAGACCATGAGAACGAACTTTGGCTTCCTTTTATTCCTCTTTTCTTAGCGAGAAACTTGGAAACATTGTGTTCAAATACAATTTATCTGGCCACCTCCCAGCCCTGCATTATGACTGCATCCCACTTTGTCCCACACACAAACTCAGAGCTCAAATCATCTCAAACTGGTTTCCTAACGTGAGAATAGGAAACTACTGTACTCAAATAACCTCAACAGTCACAGTCTAGTGTCTGATCTTTTTGCAAAGCTAGCTGGGATTGCTGATGGCAGCTTACACAACTTATTCTCCAAAAAAGAATTTTTTAATCTCATTATCATTTATAAATGAAGACATGGCTTGTACTTACCAAGTGCTCTTAAAGGGTAATACATTTGTTAGTTAAACTATAGAGTATTTACCTAAAAAATAAATCACCAGTAGGGCTACTCCACATTAACTAAATCCTGCAAAGAAAAGTGATTTTGGTAAACAGAGCACCGTGTCACTAAAAGAAAGCATCAGACACATCGATATAAGCAGGTATGGGAGGGATTTTGTGGCATACACACATATACAACACAGCACCAACATTAGTTAGGTCCCGGACATCTGTTGCGAGTCTTCTTGGCCTACACCGGGGGTGTCCAACTCCAGGCCTCAAGGTTTTAGATGTCACCCTGGGTGAACACACTTAAATCAAATGATTCGTTCATTACCAGGCCTCTGGAGAACTTCAAGACATGCTGAGGAGGTAATCTGGCTATTTAAATCACCTGTGTTGGATAAAGGACACATCTAAAACCTGCAGGACACCGGCTCTCAAGGCCTGGCGTTGGACACCCCTGGCCTACACTGACAAAATGTCCTCCTTTGGTGCTCTTTACAGACAAAATAACATCAGACTGAGCTTGAATTGAGCTCAAGCCACTGATGCAAACATGCAAACACACACTCTGCGCCGGGTGTGTGTTTGCTCATGCAGCCCTCTGAGAAAACAGTGGTGAGAAAAGGAAAAGGTCATGCAGTGAAAGGGATGGTTTCTGTGAGAAAGGGAAAGAAGGAAAGTCGTTGTGATGATGATGATCATGGTTGCAGACAGTACCCAACGTACCAGTAATGTTAGTCCTCACTGGTCAGTGATAGTGATTCTGTAGAAGGAACCATAGCAGTGTGTGGGACAGAGGTGTGGCGGGGGACGGAGGGGTGAAGAAGAGGAGACAGGAGAGAGAAAAGGAGCGCAAACAGTTACAGCGCAGGAAATGACCAACATCGCATGTGCGAAGCTCTCACTCATGGCAGCTCACAGTACAGAAAAACTGGATTGGAAGATGAAAAATGGGCACTTAAAACAGATTCGTTTTAGTGAAGATGTTAAAAAGCTGTCATTTTCCAGTGAGAGCTTCGCTCAGCCACGTTAGCGTCCTCTACAGTAAAACAGGTGAGCTACTGACAGTTAGCCCCAGGTTAAAGAGGTTAGCTAGCTCACAAACACAGGAAAGGGGGGGGGGATTTTAAATGCATACAATTAATGAATACCAGAAAGGAAGCCCCTCCACATTCCCATCTCCCCTTCATTCATCAGATCATGTTTTAATTCAAAGGAATCCAGACGACCTCGCTTTTAGCAACAGATTATTTAACAGGTGATGCCTGACAACGTGACGAAAGTTTGGTGATGGCTGAAAGATACTAGCAAGGTGAAAGAAATTAGTGAGATGTTGTAGTTGTAGTGCCTATATGGGGATAACTAGCAATCTACCTATTAATCTATCCTCTATCAAAACCAGCGCTTTCTACTGTCCTTTACCTCCTTTATCCCCTCATCCAGGTGTCTTCACATCCCCCTTGTTAACAGAGAGTATCCACACTTCAGCTTTGGTGACGTCACATTATCTTAAACTGTAGTTTGGATGTCAGTGTCCTTGTAAAATCTACTGCGGCTTACTCTATGATGGAAGAGTTTCCACTCACCTAGGCACACTTGGGGGTGCGCGGTTAGGCCTGGAGGGCACGGTGGGTGGTGGCCCACTGTATGGGTCAGGAGAAGCTCCGGGGCGAGAAGGGACAGGGGGACCCCCTGCAGGAGGAGGCCCAGGTGGAGGACCACGAGAGCCTGGACGGGCCGGGGGTCCTGGTGGAGCCCTGCGGTTTGGAGTTGGACTGGTGGCCGGAGATCTTGATAAGAAAGTAGAAGTGAAGAGAGGAACATAAAAGGATAAAAACATCAGGAAAGTGTCAATAAGTCAGACGCTGCGTCTTTTTAGAATCTTCTTATTTACTTGACCATATGTCAGAATTAGACATGGGCTTTTAATATTTGTTCTCCCCAACCTGTTCCCACACGTACTCTCTCAGTCCCACAGTCTGATGTCTCATGCGCCTTACCGTCCTCCAGATCCGCTACGCTGCACCTGAAGCCAGGAATCGTCCACGGGTGGTGGCATGGCGGTGGTTACAGTAGATGTGCTGATGTCGCCGATGATGTTGAGAGCCTCCCGCAGAGCGTGGTACATCCGCAGCATCTCGTCACGGTGCTGGGCCTGCTCCTGAGACTCCTCCATCAAGCTGTTCTGGTCACCACATGAGTACAGCTGGGCCAACAGCTCAGCATTAATGAACTCTTTAGTCTGCACGCAGAGGGAGAGAAACACAGCACGCTGTCTGTCAAATCTCAAAGTCCTGTCGTCTCAGCAGGACTTACGAGACAACAGCAGCAGACTCACATTGTTGATCATGAGATGCATGATGGTCTTCGGCATCAAGTCGCGGACGGTCTTGTTGACGATTGCCATGTAAGAGTCGACCAGGTTGCGGATGGTTTCCACTTGCCGCTCCAGCTGAGGGTCCATGCTGTGCATGAGGTTGTCAGAACCATTTTCATCACCACCATCACTCTGTGAGACAAATTAGGGTTTTGTTTTAAAATGTGTGTGTAGCAGAGTTACAGAGAGGGTGATAGCACTTCAGGAATGACAGGAAGGAAAAGGTTTTCTCCAGGAAATTATATTACCAGCTGAATGATGAACACACAATTCATCAGTGTAGTTAAATGTTGATGAAAATAATTAAATAAAAAGAATTTCTTTACATTTTGCTTCCAAGAATTCAGACTTTCTAGTAATTTTTAGCATGGTCTTGAGCAATAATTCTTCAGGTTTTCTGAAGATCTTTCACACTTTCTATTGGACACGGCTTAGACATTTATTGGCTTTTCACTCATTTTCAGTCCAGTCCTCCTAACTGACCACTTTCACTGGATTATTTTTTTCTGTTTGTTAAGCCATAACAAGTTCACCTAACTCAAGGGATGAACCAGTGCTGCATTTATTAAGAAAAGATTATTTAGTCAAATTTACGCAGTTTGATAGGCATAAAATGCTATCTTTGCACCAGCAAGGTGATTCCCTATCAGTGGTTCAAAAATCTACTCCTAATGATTACGCTAAACTATCCATTTACTGATCACTGTCAGCTACACAACTCAGGTACAGGTCCATTTAAGTAAAGGTACAGTTCATGCTTTACATAGAAAACACAGAAAAGTGATCTAGTACCCAGAGTAACATACCTTTCCTTCCTTCTCCTACAACGCCAAATAGCAATGAGAGATAAAAGACATTGAAAAGGACAGATGGCAAATGAGAAACACAATAACATTAAAAGAGACTGCAGAAGGAAACATCACAGCAACCACCTGAGCTGCTACTGGACACAAATAATATGAACTGGGAATAAATTCCACATTTGTGAGAGTGTTTGCGTCACAGTGTTGTCTGTGCACGTGTGCTTTAGATTAAATCTTACCGTGACCCTTTCAGGATAAACTCCGGCTCTGAGGAAGGAGGCTTTCCAGGCATCAACGTCTTCCTGACTCTCACAAGCAAGCTCCAGCTGACGGTAGTCCTTATACACATTTCTGTGGAGACACAGTGTGAGCAGTGCACTCCAATAGTCCCATCTCATCAGCTGTACGTCCTTCCACCAGTGAAGGTTGGTAACTAAATACAGTCACTTTAATGTAAAAACTTGGAACTTGTTCTTTCCTCCAGAATTTCTGTTTTCACTTTATATTATCTTACTTCATATTTTCTACTCCACTATACTACAAAAATAGCTTTTTTGTTACTTCACAACATTTACTTTATAATTCTGGTCATTTTTAATCTACTTTTTTTTGTTTTGGATACAAAACTTGTATCATTCTTTGGGATTAAAATGCCCCAAAGTATAATTTAGTGCTTCTTATCTACAACAGTAACAACAATAAAGTCTGGCTTATATGTAGATACTTAAAAATTTCATGCAACGCTGGAAAGGGCACTCTGTACAATTTAAAACCTTTACTTTCTTAATTTAAGTTCATTTTTATTATACTCTTGTCCTTTTACATTGGAATAATTTTTACTTAGGACTTTAAATTATCTGCAGACTTCCCCAATATCGGGATATTCTTTAAGCTTTACAACTACATCCTCACTGGCTGTCACACAGAAATCCCAAAACTCATTTAATGTAAACATAAAAGTGGGCGAAAGAGCAACTTTTAACGCTGTGGTGCATTTAAGTTGTTTCTGCGTTACAGTGTTAATGTGTGTGTCTAATAACACCTCTGTTCGGTGTTGAAGAGGGCAAAAATATGCTTGCTGGACATGAAGCCTTTCTCCACATCGCGCAGCTTCAGGTTGTCGACCTGCAGCATGTACTTCTTCTCCTTCTCCTGCAGGGGGTGAAAGAGACACAGCAGTGAGTAGAACGAGGAGGAAGACTTCCCTGATAAAGAGGAGAAAGGGTCATGCAGATACTCTCACTGTATAAAAAAAGAGTCGCTTTAAAGGAAAAACTAGTGCAGATGCTGCATTATGCTCACTCTGGGCTGTGAAATTTAGAGCTACGCATACAATTGTATTATGTAACATATATAGTAAATGGTGAGTGTGTGAAAAAGTTTTTGAGTCATTAGTTTGCGCTGCTGATACAGACAAAAAGATAGCAGGCTAAAAGAGACAAGCGGATAAAAAAGGTCAGCGGAAATGAAGAGCAAAAGCTCGCACATTCAGTTCTACAGCAGACGAAAGAAAAGCAAAGGAGATGGATGGGAAAGTACAGTCTGTGGTTTTGATTACAGTTGTGCAGAGTCAAGGGGGTGGGGGGGTGGGGGGGAGAGAGCAAGCAACAAATGAGAAACACACAGACAGAAAGAGAGAGGGAGAGCGTTCCAGGCTAGAAATCTCTTGTACTTGTAAATTTGCACACAACATATGATACACAGACGTCCAACTATTTATGAATCAGGGAACCTCAAAGTTTGTCAGCTCAGTCTGATCTCTATCTTTATCTCAAGCAAATAAACTCTCTCTCTCTCTCACACACACACACACACACACACACACACATATATATATATATATGCCGCGGTTGGACTTCTCAAAGTCTATTGATAGAAAATCCAGTTTCTTGAGTCACGGTGCATAATATGCTGTGTGTGTGTGTGTGTGTGTGTGTGTGTGTGTGTGTGTGTGTGTGTGTGTGTGTGAACGAATAAAATGAGAATTAACAAAATGAGATTCCAAAAATAGCATGAGGTTGGTGAGTTTCTAACAAACATTCTCTAAACACAACACACGAAAACACACACACACACACACACACACACACACACACACACACACACACACACACACAACAAACACACACACACCACACACGCACACGACACATACACACCCCTGCTTTGGTTCCAAACAGCACCTTTTTAGCGTAGTCTTAACTAACCTTAAAACATCTGGATGGCTAACCACGGACTTGCCCTGCCCAACTCAGCATGTGTGTGTGTGTGTGTGTGAGGTTGTGTGTGTGTGTGTGAGTGTGTGTGTGTGTGTGTGTGTGTGTGTGTGTGTGTGTGTGTGTGTGTGAGTGTATGTGTCTCACAGAGAGAGCAAGACAGACGGGGATTGAATGTGTGACAAACTCCTTCATCAAAGGATTTATGAGCTGTGCAGCCAAATGGTCATATCCCCTGAATGCATGTAAAACATCACAGAGACACACATAAAGACACAAACACATTTGGCAGCGCCCGTACGCCGAGGTGTCCGCTACCCAAAAAAAAGACGGCTACACAAGAAGTCGCCCCAGGCCGCTGAAAGCTGACATCATTATTTTATAAAGCTGGTGAGTTCCCATCCCCCCATTTCTCTCTTTTTCTTCAATTTCACCATCATCTCTTTTCTTTCTTCACCCCCTCCCCTCCCTTGTTCCTTTCACTCTCTGGCTTTCCCTCTCCCTGGGAGTGAGCAACCTTGGATTGATTCATACATTTTCCTCTCCTCTGGCCAGTAAATCCAGTCAGGAAAAATGGAAACAGGGGAAGAGGAGGGGCAGCGAATGTGCACATGATGTGGGGAAGGTAAAGAGAAAATACGCCAACACGGAGAATAACTATGTTATACAAGAACAGCAACAGTAAGAGAGAAATACAAATGATTTCTTGAGTTTTCTTGAATATTAGTGGGGGGTGCAGATGCTGTGAGAGTGGAAGATTTGAGTTTGAGGTTTGATCAGTCTGGCAACCACACATGCCAGAAAGTCAAACAACAAATTGATGAATACCAGATATCTGCTAAGTTTGTCCATGTATTTGTCCTATTGCAACATCAAATAAGACCATTATCAGTCAGCCAGTTTCTTGTGTGTGCATGTGTTTCTTTTTTATGTGTGTGTACTAGGATTGGGGGGGAAGTAGGTGCTTGAGTGCTTTGCCATATGCTCCTATAAAATCCAGGCAGTGTGAGTGGGCAACGTTACAGATTTCAGATGTTAAGCACACTCGCAGGGACGCATGAGAAAACAAACCTGCAGATGCACACATGTGGTCTGAAATGCACACTTTCTCTGCACAGGACCAAGCTTCAAGTAGACACACACACACACACACACACACACACACACACACACACACACACACACACACACAGGTCATTTGGGCTCACTTGGACACGAAGCTCCTGATTTTGATAGCTGCTAAGCAGGATTTCAGCTCTAGATGAGCATCCGTGGTCTCATCTTTCATAAGTTATCCTCATGAAAGATCTTTAGAGTGAAACTTCTAATAAGTCGTAGTAGTCGCTCTATTAAAAAAGCTGCGTTAAGGGCTAACTGGTACAGACTAATAATTTTTTGCATCATATAAAATAGGAAACGCCTTCTGTGCACAGGTTGTGCAAATTAACTTGAAGCACATGATTAGTTTGCTTTTTCATTGGGCACAATTGGTTAAATCCTTCTTTCATAATGGTTACATTGTTCATTTTTATCAGGTTATCCTATGTTAAAAAACAGACGGGCGTAAAATGTGTTCTGCTTATTATATGGGACGTTTTTTAGGCAGGTGCTTTGAGAAAATTAGTCACAGTGTTTGACTAAATCCATCTGTCATTACTTAATTAATATTCCACAGAGTTTCCATTACTCTTTAGATTGATTGTAATTGTATTGGCATCAATGCAGAAATAGCAGAGGCTGATTACCACCAGACTGAGCTGCAAAAATACACCTTTTTAGGTTTAGTTTGATATTTTCTTTAAACACTTTTACATTTTTTCACTTGTACACAAAACACAGGTGTGATCCTTGTTGGGGGGGTTTTATGGGTTTGTTTGTTTTTTCGTCTGAACACCCACACCACACACACACACACACTACAGGCGGGCACTTAGTAGTTGGTATTTGGAGCAGTGTGTGAACAAAGTGCTTTTCATGGTTTTGTTTTGCTAGTGTGTAAGAGCAGGCTCATTATAGAGAGTCAGGGGAAGTTCACTTCTGGATTCGTAAAGGAACTTCACCACTCCGTACGCCATCCCAAAAAATATCTAAAAGAGTCAAACACATAAAACGTTCGAATATGGGCATTTCTCACACACACTTGGAGGTGGTAAACACCAAAACACACACATATATGGGAACATTAACCAATTAACACTCTGAAACAAATCGGAGTAGTTTGGTTGGCGAAACCATGAAGATACTCGTTTACAGCATCCATGTTGTTTTAAGAGGCTGGATGTCTTCGTATGTGTGCGTGCACGTGTGTGCGGTGGTGCGTTACTGTGTATGTTGATGGGAGTCTGATAGAAAAATCCTGGTGACTTGGGCCATGCATCAAAGGCCTGCGGAGAAGCCGCACGGCATCTGGGAGCAATAACGTTGCTTCTAACCCTTCATTACCACAAAGACTGGGCCCTGGGTGGCAGCCAATGGTAATTTTCACAACCCTCCTCCTCACCTCCCTCTGCTTTTCTTTCCCTCCATTCTTCTGCCATTTTCCCCATTGACTTCTGTCTTTAAGAAGAAAAAAAATTAAACACAGAGGGGATTTCTTTTAAAAAAGGCGCACGGAGAAAGTAGTATAGAGTGAGGCTCAGTGGGTTTGATGCACTTGTTCAGACCAATTTCATCAATTTATAGATTTTTGTAGGAACCGATTTGTCACAACGTTCTTGTAGAAAAGATTTGTTTGTGAACATAAGCATCTTTTCGTTGTGTGTAACGAAAAAACCCACTGACGTACGCAAAAGCCATGTTTGGTCTGTGAGCAACATATGAGAAACAGAGACGGCATCTGAGGAAACCTAATTTGACTTAATGCTGTTTGGACTTTATTTAAAGTAAGGCCACATGTTGCCAATATTTAAATGAGGAACAGACAATGATTTAGCTAAGAGAATTACAACGCTGAAGAGCTGGATTGGAGCTATTCTGGGGCAGTGTGTAAAAACACACAGCTGTTCATGACTCATCTGGCTGAAGATTGCGCAATAATGCTCATAACAAATCACCTTGAGCAACGTGCCAGGGCCCACACTCTATAATCCTCCATTTATCATGCAAAAGTGCCTTTTTGATAACAGCATGTCAGGTGCACATGTTTCAGGAACTCGAATCTAATCTGAAACGTCCAATTTCGCAGTGATATGAACATTAATTCTCACATTTTCTTTTTTATGACAAGGTTTTGGCTCCTTCGATTATCTTTTTTCATTCCTTCTTACAGAAAAAAAACCCCCCAACAGCCTTTGAGCTTTGCTTTGAGATTTTCCTGTGGGAACTGCACAAACGTGAACAAATGTCTTTGTGGAGAGATGAAACATGCTGACTGCAGTTGAACGCAGCCTGGCAGGTTAGTGATACCTTCCTGTTTAGTGGTTAATTGCTAAACAGTCAATTATCTGCCCTGAATTTACTCCTGCAGAAGGTCAGTGTTACAACCTCGGGGCTATCAAGGGCATGTGATCAATCACCGTTGACCACCAAAGCGTAAAAGAAAGGTTGGCCAGCAGACTGACTATATAAACACACGCTAAAATCCACACACGGCGGCAATCTTGTCTGGTGGAGGGCAAATGTTCAGCTGGTGTGTTTTGTGTCTCACAGCAAAACTCCCAGTACAAACCAGTCACAGCTAAATGACATGAAACCCCAGTTCCCTCACAAGCAAATGAGGCACGCAAGCGTCTGCCAGTGTTCACGCATGTTTTTCATGTAAGGATTATGTACCTTAAGGTAAACACGTGATGTCAGAATACGGGGGAAACACTGTGAATGCTTTTATAGAAAATGTAAATGCTACACTTGGCACTGACCCACAGACATTTGCAGTAAGTTCAGTCTCGTGAAACTTCATGAGCATTAAAGCTGTGTCAGGCTAAAAGTCAAAGAAAT